ATCAGGTTCCCCCAGCCTGGCCCCACTCCTTCCCTGAGAAAGCCTCCCCAGCCAGTTTGCAAGGCACATCCCCAGCAGTGCTGCCAGTGTGGATGCTTGGTGCAGGGGGTGAGCTGGAGCACGGTGCTCCTCAAGCTGGTGTCAGATGGGCCAGGATGCAGAACCCTGCGGTGCCCAGGGGGTCAGCAGCTCCTGCTGCCCCAGCCTGGCCCTGCTCCACACAGTGACTTTGGGACCAGGGATTTTATCCACAGCGCAGGGCATGGAGCAGTGCTGGGCAACCACTGCGTGCCTCCTGGCAGCTCTGGCACAGACCTGACCCGTGGCATGTGCACCTGGCCACTGCACAGGGGGGTACTGGGCTGTGCCACTCTGTCCTCCATGCTGGGGAGGAGGAGGTGATTGCTTCTGTCCTGCTCCCTGGTCTCTCCCTGCTGCAGCCCCAGGTTTCCTGCAGTGACTTTCCAAGTGGACTGGAGTGCTAGTCCCCATCCCTCAGAGCATTTTGCCCCATTTTCTGCTGTGAAATCTCCCGTGGAGGATTTATTGCTGATGGTTTCAAAATGTTTTTGACACAGAAGCCAAGTCTGTTGCATTCCTTCACGCTGGCCAAAGCCACTCTCAGTTGAGGACCCTGGAATGAGCAGTTAGGGAATATGTTTTGCAAGAGTAACTCCATTTCTTTGCAAACTTCTGTTTTGTTGGGGTGTTCTGTAGGTCAGGAGCTCAGACTATCCCCTTTGGATGCAGGGAGGCTGGGCTGGGAGGGATGGGGAGGACCAGCCCTGGGCAAGGATGTGCCTGTGGCAGGGCTGACCCCACAGCATTTGCACTGCTGCTCTCACGGGCCATTCGTGCCCATATCCCAGGGAGGAAGGGGCTGTCAGACCCCGTGGCTCCCTGGGCACTGCGTGGGCAGGGGGGACAGGATGCTGCCTGTAGACCTCGCTGTTTGTGGGCAGGACTTGGCTCAGGACATGACTCTCACAGCAGCAAACAGTTTATGGCAACGGTTCAAGGATCTTGACCTGCCTGCTCACGAGGGAAATAAGTGATGCATTCCACTGGCTGCTGATCACTAACACCTTGCTGCCTACTCCCATCATGGGCAGCTGCCTGCTCCCATCATGGGCAGCTGCCTGCTCCCATCATGAGCAGCTGCCTGCTCCCATCATGGGCAGCTGCCTGCTCCCATCATGGGCAGCTGCCTGTTCAGGTGTGGCAGGTAGCTGAGCACCCTGTGCTGCTGCCACAAAGCTGCATGTTCGTGCAACAGCGGTTGTGGATGATAAAGGTGTGGTGCCCACAGTGCTGCCAGTGACAACAGAGTGTGGCTGGGGTTGAGGGAACAGCCAAGGCCTGGTGTCCAGTACCATGGGATGAGTGGCATGTTTGGCTCCGTCCCCTCAGCCAGGGTCTGATGGTGCAGGAGGGATTAACACAGCAGAGTGGTGCTGGGAGGAGGAATGCCATCCCTATTTGCAAAGGTTCTTTACCCCCACAGCAGAGACCAGAAGAACATGGCTGGCAGCCAGGAGCACCCCCAGCCTGGCCGTCTGTGGCTGCGGGGAACTCCAGGAATGGCTTGGAAAGTTTTCCATTATGTGAAGTCCTGGTTAAATTAGCCTGGCAAATGAGGAGGGGGTAGGCAGCCTGTCCTCTGCTCCATGCACCCACTCCAGACTCCTGGGTGCCCCCGGCATGGTCTGGTGGTGATTCACAGGGAGATGGCAGAGAGGTGGGAGCAGTATCAACCCTGGGCACAGCAGCTCTGCAGGGCTGTCACACAGATAATGGAGCAAAGGCTGCAGTTCAGTTGGAGCAGATGAGCTGTTGTATTGGGTGACCAGAGGAGCTGGGGCTGCAGGATTCCCCTGAGTGAGGGGACAGTGTGGGGCAGGGGACAGCGCTGTTGCTGGGGCACTCTGTGCTCCACGTGCCCTCAGAGCCTGTTTTTCTCTTTTATGTAAGTTATTCCAAACATGTTTGTAACACCCCCCCCCGGTGATGCACCTTTGGCAAAAGTGGTTTTGAGTCCAAAGATCAGTGCTGGGACAGTGACCTGCCCACAGCAAACAAGACTCAGCAGACTATAAAACCCCAGCGGCAGAGCGGAGCGTGGGGCAGCCGGAGCCGAGCCGAGGGCAGGGGCAGCAGAGGAGGATGGAGGCCAACATGAACCTCCTGCACGACGTGGGCATCCGGACAACGCACTGGCTGCAGCAGCACTTCCAGGGCTCCCAGGACTTGTTCCTCTTCATCTCCTATGCTGCTGACCTCAGGAACGCTTTTTTTGTCCTCTTCCCCATCTGGTTCCACTTCAGTGAGGCAGTGGGCATCAGACTCATCTGGGTGGCTGTGATCGGAGACTGGCTCAACCTTGTCTTCAAGTGGTGAGTGGCCCTGAGCCACAGCTCCCTCCGAGTGTGTTGGCACAGCTGGACTAATGCAGGCCAGCTGGGTGCTCTCAGCCCCAATGCTGGAGTAGAACAAAGGACAGAGTTCAGCTCCCAGCTGGGCACTGATAATGGTTGCTGCTTCCCAAGCTATGCAGCAACAGCTCCCCCCTTCTCAGAGCCAGGCAGAGATGGAGCCTTCTACAAACAGACTCTGCTTATCAGCCAGGGCTGTGGTGCTGAGCAGGGGCTGCACAGAGTCCCTCAGCACAGGAGGTTGCATTGACTTGCACCCAGGAAGTTCTTGCTCTTCCCCTTCAGGGCTGGGGATGAGGACATGGACAGGCAGTGTCAGCTGTCAGAACCAAGTGACCAGCTGTATGCTGTGTCTGTCAGGATGCCCTCAACCACTTGTGGGTCCTTTGCTTCTTCCAGCTCCCAGGACAGAGCTGAAGCTGCAGCTGTGCCCCAAACCTCTTCAGACCCCATTCTCCTTTCTTTTCAGGATCCTCTTTGGAGAGAGACCATACTGGTGGGTCCACGACACGGACTATTACAACAACACCTCTGCCCCAGAGATCCAGCAGTTCCCGCTCACCTGCGAGACTGGCCCTGGTAGGGTCCCACAGCCCTGGTAGGGTCCCCCAGCCCCAGCTGGGGCAGCGGGCACTTGCCCAGGGTGACCTGCACATGCAGGGAGGGGGCGCTGGCCTGGGCAGGGTCATGGTTGGCAGCCCACCAGTGGCACATGGTCCTGGCCAGCTCTTCAGAGAGGGCCATTACTGCTGTGCTCCCAGGCACACCAGCTGTGCCCGCAGTGGGGGGAGGCAGGGAAGTCCCTGTACAGAGCAGACCTTGACCCTTGGTGAAGATGTGGTGGTTCAGCACAAACCCTGCCTGTGCTCAGCTCTGGCTCACACCAGGTCTGACCCGGGGCTCTCTTTTTGCCCAGGGAGCCCGTCTGGCCATGCCATGGGTGCAGCAGGTGTGTACTACGTCATGGTGGTGGCCCTCCTCTCCGCTGCTCACGGGAAGAAGCAGTCAAGGACATTTGGATACTGGTAAGCTGTGCACCAGAACAACCTGGGCAGAATGCTGGGCAGAGGCAGCTCCAGCACTGATTGGCACAGCCAAGCCCATCAAGGCACAAGGCTGTGGACAGATAGACAGGCTGTGGCACCCCAAGTGGGGTCTACATAAGGATGGGCTTGGCAGAGAGCCAGGCATTGTTTAAGGTGTGGGATGGCAGTGCCATAAGCAGTGCAAGCTGGCTCTGGCACCAACATAGCCACCTGCCCCTCACAGGGTGCTGTGGATGGTGCTTTGGACGGGGTTCTGGGCAGTTCAGGTCTGCGTCTGCCTGTCCCGAGTCTTCATTGCCGCTCACTTCCCCCACCAAGTCATCACAGGCGTTTTCTCAGGTAAGTGCAGCAGATCCCCCATGCCCTTCCCTGCGGCTCTTCCATGCTGGACTGCAGTACCTTGAGCACTGACCAGTGCTCCTGCTTTGTTACTGGCAGGGATGGCTGTGGCCAAGACCTTCCAGCATGTCCGCTGCATCTACCACGCCAGCCTCCATCGGTACACGGGCATCACCTTATTCCTCTTCAGCTTCACCATTGGTTTCTACCTGCTGCTGCGGGTGCTTGGCGTGGACCTGCTCTGGACACTGGAGAAGGCACAGAGGTGGTGCAGCCGCCCTGAGTGGGTCCACATCGACACCACCCCCTTTGCCAGCCTCCTCCGTAACCTGGGCATCCTCTTTGGGCTGGGGCTGGCTGTCAACTCCCACATGTACAAGAAGAGCTGCCAGGGGAAGCAGGGCCAGCAGCTGCCCTTCCGCCTGGGCTGTGTCGCTGCCTCCCTCCTCATCCTCCACATCTTTGATGCCTTCAAGCCACCCTCCCACATGCAGCTGCTCTTCTACGCCCTCTCCTTCTGCAAGAGTGCAGCTGTGCCACTGGCTACTGTCAGCCTCATCCCCTACTGCCTCTCCCACCTCATGGCCACACAGGACAAGAAGGCTGCCTAGGGCATCCCTGCAGGTAATTGTGCCCAGGCAAGTGGCCACCCTAGCCCTGGTCTCGGGCACCCACTAGCCCTGGTGCACCCCAGCCACTGTGTGCTCCCTGCTGATTTTGCACTGGGAGTGGACTGTGGAGGCTGGGCTGGCGGCACTGCCCGGTGGCTCCCACCACATAGACCCACAGTCTCAGTCGTGCCCTTGCTGATGGCACAGCGAGCCTTGCACTCCCAGGACTCCCCTGCTGCCCCTCCTGCACCCACGGGTGGAGGTCATCTGCCTGGGACCCAGCAGCAGCGGTGGGGAGATCCTGCACTCCCTCTGCAGCTCATGGGGACACGTCAGCTCCGCACTGCAGGGCTGGGGACAGCACCACCGGGAGCAGGGTGCTCACCCCTGGGTGCCTGGGGTCTGCTGGCGAGGCAGCTCTGTGACAGGAACGGGCAGACACTGTGACATGGTGATAAAGTGCCAGCACGAGGGACCCTGCAGCCCTGGGGCATTCGGTGATGCAGTGAGGGGTGAGCGTACACCTGTGTGTGTACATACATACATGTATCTATACACACATGACGTGGGGGTGTGGCTGTGCACAGGAGGTATTTTATTAAAGCTGAAGGTGTGTTTAGCTGGTGAGTTCGAGTGTTCTGCTGGCCTGCGCTGTGGGATGCAGGATCAGCTCCTGGGTGCAGGGCTGTGGCATGGACTGGGGGTGGTGGAGGAAGGACGTCTGTCCTGAGTGATGAGAAACACCAACACCTGCAAAACACATTCAAATCACTGGGAAGGGCACTGCCAGGTGTCCCGGGTCTTTGCCACTCACCCCTGGCTGCAGTCAGACACTGAGAGCACAGCAGGTGGGGCAAGGGATGAGATGCTTTCTGTGCTGTTTATCCAAAGCTTCTGGGTGCACCTTGTGGCAAGAACAGGGACAAACTCGTGTCACCTTGCTGCTTACGGAAACAAGCTCAGCTTTGGGACTGAGTGACTCGGTTGGGGCTGTGCTGAACTCCCAGGGTGTGGGGACAGAGCTGGCATTTGGCTGTGCTGTGGGGTTGGGGTGGGGGTGGTCAGTGCTGGCACAGCCCCCAGCCACCACGAGCCCCAATGCCAGCTCTGCCCGGGTGCAGGAAGCGGCTGCATCAGCATGGGGTCACAGCAGCTCGGCTCTCCCACCCCATCCTCGCTCAGCCTGAGATAGTCTAAAATAGATACGGAGGTGCAGATACTTTCTTCCTGCCAGACTCTGTGTGTGCACTTGCAGAATCTCCCCCAACCAACCAGTGCCTGCAGCACTGACCCTACACCCAGCTCCAGTTTCTGTGGTGTTCCCTGTGAGCTGACACTGCCCCAACAGCTCAGCCATGGGCCATGGCCTGTGGCCCTACAGCAGCCACAGTGGCCACATGTGGGAACATCGTGTGCTGGGGTTCACCATCCCTTTGTTCATGACAGATAAACTTCCTTAGGATGGAGGTTTCTTTTATTCTATTTCTCTGTTTATTACCAACATCTAAAGTGAACCTGTCATGTCACTTCTAGCAAAAAGGAGGGAAACCCCCCCACAAATTACCTGTTGTGCCTCACTGTGGCTCCACAGCACCATTTAGTTCCTCCAGCTGAGACTGCAGCAGCTTCAGGGCCTGCCCGGGCTAGAAAGGCAAGCTTAGGGAACACTGGGAACAGGGCTGCCTGATCCCAAGGGAGTTTGTAACTGCAGCAGCCCAAGAAACTCTCAATGTTCAAAAAAGGACCAATAACAACTGCACTTCAACAAGGGAAAGGACTGGTACGTGGTGGGGAACAACCTCCTGCCCATGGACTACCCACTCTCCCTTCTGGGTGCCCTCTGTCCCTGTGCAGGCCAAGGTGTCAGGGAGGACCAGTGGCCTCGTGCTGAGTGTTACTGCCAAAGCAACTGCTCCTCAGCAACTGGTGCAAAGCAAAAGGCCCCAATGTACCGCCAGCTGGAGGCCCCTCTTGGTTTTAGTAACCTTACAAAGTGGTAAACTAAGGACTACTTTAACCCCTGTACCATTTGGCTGGGGAAATGAAAGAGCCCTTGCAGCAAAGCATGGATTGCAGATCCCCTCCCCATTTCTGTGAGCACCAAACCAGCCTGCACAGAGCATGTGCACACCAGCTTTTGGGTTCAGGTCTTTATTCTCCAGGAGAGAAGTTAATGGGGTCTGTGCAAAACAGGGAAGGAAGCCCTACTTTGAGAATTATTTCTTACACTTCAGGGCTTCGATGGCTGATGAATTCCTGGAGCAGAGCTTCCACTTCTCCTCGACGGCTCATCTTGGCTGCCTTGCCCTGGAAGCGGTCACGCTTTCCAGCTCCTTTCCCTCCCAGCAGCTCTGCCACCCTGCAGCAACAACACCACAGGCTGCAGCCCAACCTGCTCCTGACAGCAAACATGGATCTGTGCCCGGATTACACTGTGCAGCTGCTCAGTCTGCAACGTCAGAATTAATTTTAAACAAACCACGAAACACATTACCTGGGACCTAAATTCTCAACTGCTTCAACAGGTCCAGCTAAAAGGAAGAGTCCTGCTTCTTTTTCATCCCCCACAGTCAGGAATAGCAGAGTTTCCTATGGACAGAGATGGATGCTGCTGCAGATTAACTACTGCTTTCCTTGTTCAGGGAAAGGACAGACACTGGCCACAGGACCGAAACACCACACTGACAATTCAGCAGTTTATGTGTGTTACTGAGGCAGAGATTTCTTGAAAAAAGTAAAAGGAAAGTGGCTTCTGAACCTTTGGTTCTGTCATATGTTGTTGGGACAACATGGTACTGGGGTATCCTGAATTAAAAGGATACAGTTGGCAGTTGGACTGGATGAGTGTTGTAGGTTCCTTCCAACTGAAACAGGCTACTCTTTCTATTCTATTCCTATCCTATCCTATCCCATCCCATCCTTTCCAATGAGGCTTGGTGCAGCTTTAGGGGTCAGGCTCTTCCCCAGTCCTCTAAATTCTCACTGTTGAGGATTTCCCTGCAGACTGAGGCTGCTTGGGACAGGTAACCTCAGGTAACTGTCAAAAGGAACCAGACCTGCAGCTCATGACTGCAGCAGGAGCAGCAGCCTGACCAGCCCCTGTCTGTGTATAGCTCAGGTGGAAAACCAGTGGTGTCAGGTCAGTCTTCATCACCAACTCACCTCTGTCCCAATCTCATTAGCGATGATGTTCATAAATTCAGAATCACCCTCTTTCCTGTATGGATGGGTAAAAAAAACACTTCAAAAGGAAGGAAAAAAACCCTCTAGAATAAAAAATCTCAATCAGAAACCAATGGCCTGATCAGGGGTTTTGGCCTCTTGCACTTAGTATAGAGATTAGGTTTTGTCCATATATCTAAATCCTTGTTGGGCATTCCTGTGGACATGTTAGGAATTACTTAAGTGTTTATCTTTAAGAAATAGAGCTTCCTAGTTTTATTTGAAAATATCAAGGGCAGAGAGAAATTAGATGGATGCAGTCATTTCTCAGCTACAAAACCAGAAGTCAGTGACTGAATTACCAACAGATTCCTTCAATTACAGAACTTTGCAGCAGGCTGAGGCAGTTTAATATTTTGTTCACCTCATTTATACTTTTCCTTGACAAAACAAGCCTGAATAGGTGTGAGAAAGGCAACTGCCATAATACATGTGAGATACTGTTGGCCCCTTTTCCCTGAGCTCCTCTGTACCTGTGTAACACAAACAGCTGCCTTGGAGCAGGTTTGCTCTTGAAGTCCCGAGCTATCAAAACAGCAATGTCTCTAAGCAGGTTCAGGTTATTCTGAAAGAAAAGCAAATGAACTGTACTGCAGCTGGAGAAGCCAGTGTGAATACAGTTGTGTTCCTAGAGGTTAGAGCACTTTTCATAATATCCAGAAAAACTGAGGCCTACGATTCAATTCCCAGTTACCACAACTAAAGCTCAGATCTGCATGAAGCAGCCACAATTCACTTTTCCAAGCCATTCTTGTACCTTCTGGAGCAGTTTCACAGAGCTCTGCAGTCTTTTCACAGCTTCTACATGCTCACCTGGTCCATTTCTGAAAGAACAGGGAGAATTTAGATCATTGGATCATCATGAAGGACAAAGGAAGGATTTCCTAAAGGAGCAAAAGCAGATCATAAACAGCCCCAGGAGCTGTACCCTGAAGCTTATGTGGTATCTGTCAGGAGAAAGAGTAAAGATGAAATAACAGAAGTGGAAAGGTTATTACTTGAGCAGGGAGGTTAGAGCCTTCTCAGTACTGTGACTTTGTTCAACTGATTTCAGCACTCTGTTTCCCACCAAGAAAATCAAGTTGGTTTTGTTCTTTTTCCCTTTTTCCACGCCAAGGAGTTTAATAACCTTAAAAAGAAAATCACGCTGGTCAGAACAGCATTTTGGTTATATACACAGCTGGTCATTTCCTACCAGGCTATGCCTTGTGGTGAATATTGACTCTCTGCCAGTGAAAATAAATTGATTAAAATCAATTTTAATTGATTAATCCACACATTGCTCTGTGTGGAGTGTGGTTCCCAGAGGCAGCTCGGCTGTGACCACCCACCTGCAGGTCACTCAGGTTGGAGACATGAGTCCCACAGCACATGTTGGAGTCGATGCCTTCGATGTCCACAACACGCACTGGCCCCACATGGTCGTCGGGCAGCCCCCGGCTCCTCACCTGGCAGAGGAGAACAGTGCCAAACAAGGTGACATCCATGCTCAGTTGTTCTGCTCCCACGAATACCATCAGTTCTCTCCCATCTTACTCTTTCAGTTTCAGGGTCATCTGCAGCCAGTTCCCTCACTGTCACAGGGACCCTGTCCCGGATTTTCTCATTCACGCTCCTCTCCAGGGCCTTGACCTGCTCTGCTGTCATTGAGGGGGTGTCCAGCTCAATGAGGCTTCGCTGACGGCCCAGCTCCCTGCACCAGGGAAGAACATCTGCTGCTGTAGCTCAGACCATCCAGGAGATCCCTTTGTGCAGCACCAGCATCCCACTGCCAGGAGTGTGGTGACTGAAACAAAACACACTTCTCTCCCTGCTTTGTTCAGAGCACCAGGTGCAAACCAAACACTTGAGGAGGACAAGATAGAGCAAACACTTTGTACAGCTTCTCTCCAGGTCAGCCACCTCTCCCAGGCAGGACCTCTGAACTTGAATGAAATGTCCAAACTCCTTTTGGTGTATTAATGTTCAGGCTCCGTGGAGCCCAGCATGGTACCAAACAAGGTAATACTGGGGTCAAAAGGAACCTTTATCCTGCTCACCATGAAGTTGTCTTGAATCCAAACATCTGTTCTGCAATGGCAGTGATGAGATGCTGTCCTGGAAGAGATATGCGAGCACCAGCTCTGAGTGCCACTGGTATTTTCAGTCACACTGTGTATGTCCCACTGACATTCCCCACAACAGGCGAGCACTGGGTGCTGCAGGGCTCCTACCGGCGCCCAGAGGAGCAGTGGAGACAGCCCTGCCCTCAGGGGTTGAACTTTTCCTTCCAAACCTGTTTTCGGTGGGTTTGTTTACAAGCCAAGGAGAGCTCGCAGGGGGCACTTGCTGTCCCAAGTGGCGCCGGGGACAGACTGTGCACGCAGAGCTGCCGAGCATCCCCCTGCCCTGTCCGGTGCGGGGACACGCTGGGCACTGACCGCCCCCCCACCACGGTAACCGGGGTGTTACCGGGCACCCCCCCGGTACCGGCACGGACCTGAATGCTGCTGCATGTGGTCGAAGCGGCGCTCCCAGTCCAGCGACAGCAGCACCTCGGCGCCGGGCTCCAGCGCGGCCGGCACGAAGTGCACGGCCTCGGGTCCCCGCCGGGTCACGCGCAGCACCGGCACGTCCCCGATGAGGCCGCGATCGTCCGGCTGCGGACACGAGGCGTCAGCGCCGCCGGCCCCGGCCCGGCCCCCGCCCGGCCCGGCCCGGCCCGTACCTGCCCGCCACCCTCGGGGAAGAGGATGGTGTCCTCCAGCACCACCTGGAACCCGCGCACCGGCTCCCCGCCGCCCTCGGGCCGCAGCTCCGCCGCCTGGCACGACACCACCCTGGTGGCGAACTGCGACAGACACGGCGGCACCGTAAGGGTCGGGGTTAGGGTGAGGGGCCCGCCCCGCGCCCCGCGCCGGTACCTGCCGGGCCCAGCTGTCCCGCTGGCACCGGAACACCATCGCGACCGCCCGGGGACGGACACGGCACAAGCGGCGGCAGCTGCAGCGCCGGGAGCGGGCGGGGCCTGCGGGGTGACGCGCGGGCGCGCTCCCGGCGGCGGGGCGCGCCCGCTGCCGGCGGGGAAGGACCGCTCCCGTTTGTGTTGGGACCGCTCCCGGGCGGGGAAGGACGGCTCTCCCGTGGGGACGGACGGCTCCCGGGCGGGGAAGGACGGCTCCCGTTTGTGGAGGGACCGCTCCCGGGCGGGGAAGGACGGCTCTCCCGTGGAGACGGACGGCTCCCGGGCGCCTGGCGCGGCGGCGGCCCGAGGGCACAGCAGACGACTGCGGCAGTACACGTTTATTGCCCCATGCCCCGCGCGGGTAACCGGGCACGGCAGACTGGACCGCTTCTGCCGCCCGGGGTCGGGTGCGCTGCACAAGCGGGCACAAGCTGAGGCAGCTCTGCTCTCTCGGAAAACCCTCTCCGTGCTGCCTGTCCATCGGTGCGTGCTACCGGCGCGTCGGGAGGCTCCTGCAGCCGCGGCATCCCCGGGAGCCCGGACTTCAGTCGTCCTGTGGGAGAAGTGGGAGATGCCAGGGACCGGGCCAGCCCTGCACTGGCTGGCAGCCCCTGGCAGCCCGGGGAGCGTGTTTGCGCTGGCTCCGGGACAGGCTGCCCGAGGGGAGCAGCAGGAGCTGCTGCCGCTGTCCTGGAGCCGGGAGAGGTCAGAGCTCAGGCTCTGCTCAGCAGGGTGGTGGGAAGTAGCTGGCAGGTGGTACTTACATCCAGGTCATCCATGGCTGGTGGGGGGCCTTTGTCTGTCACCCTCTCCAGCATCTGGATGGGAAACAAACAGTTGGCTCCCCCTCATCCCAAGCACCCACCTGATGTGCCCCTGGACCCTGAAGCCAGCAGCCCAGCTCACCTCTGCGTACTGCTCCACCATGGCCCTCTCCACCTCCTCATCACCTTCCCAGTCTCGCCAGTTGTCAAAGTCCACAGAGAGCCAGGCTGGCTGTGGGCACAGAAAGCATCCCCTGAAGGGGGGAGCAGCACCGCAGGGACTCACAGCCCACGGGCTGCTCCTGCACAGGGCCTGGGAAGAGGTAGGAAGCGGGGGTGTGCCTTTGCCTGCAGGCACCGGTCCTGACCCTGCCTGTGTCAAGGAAAAGAGGTGCTGCATCCTTCCTGGATTGCACTAATTTGTGGACTAGCAGTGATTGTCAGGTTGGGTTTTTTGGGAGCTCTGTCTTGGGGTCCCCCGTGGGGCCCTCTGTGTCTGTCCCAGGGGCAGGTTGGTCCCTGGGAGCTGTGAGGTGCTGCATGGGGACAGGACATGTGCTGAGGCTGGTCCTGGCTGCCAGGCACCACACACACCTTGATGTTCTCCTTGGTGATGCGTGGCCAGGCCACTTTCTCCTTCCACTTCCTCATAAAGCATGTGATGGACCGGTCAGAGCGCTTCTCCCGTGAGTCCTGCCAAGAGATCAGAGTGCCTCACCTCAGTGTCTGTCAGACTCCTCTCTCACAGGGTTATAAAGCTCAGCCCTGCACAGACTGAGGGGGATAAAGAACCACGGAGACACATTGTTTCTGGCTCAAGCCAGCACCCCAAGTACCAGCCCTGGGCAGGGTCAGGGCTCTCAGGTGTGTGCTCACCTCACTGAAGCTCTCAGGACACAGGCAGGATTCAACGCTAAGCAGCATTGCTCAAGACCACACAGGCTGGCTCTGACTCTAAGCCTTATAGAGGCTGGCAGAGAACAGTTTGTTGGGGGGAAGCCTCACCTTGGAGTTGACTCTGGCGTATAGGTTGATCTCGTTGTAGAACTCCACACCGTCTGCATTTTTGCAACTACCAAAACACCATAACAGCCTGGCTTAGGAGATGGTTGAGGCCATGCGTGCCCTGCTCTCTCAGAGGCCTCCCTATCCTCCAAACAACGCTCAGTTCAGGCCATGTCGCCAGTCAGCAGGGCAGTGGCTGCTCACCTGAACACCAGCCGCTGGTCCTCGATGACGACCTTCACGTCTGTGCTGTCCTCGACACAAAACTCCAGGTACACGTACCGCGGGCGGTCGTACCACAGTGTCTTTGCAGGTTGCCTTGGGGAAGAGCAGACCAGAGGGTGTCACCAGCGGACATTCCCCCGGTGCCCAACAGCGCTCTGCAGGGCCCGCAGGGGGCACAGGGGACAGGGGCGAGGAAAGGGCTTCGGACGCGGGTCCTGTCTGGGTCGAGCCCCGGGGCTGGCAGGGGGAGCCGGGCGGGTTCCGGCCGGGAGGTGAGCGGTGGGCACGCGGCGCTCCCCTCGCCCGCCCCGCACGCCCCTCGACCGGCTGGCGGTGGGGCCCGGCCGACCCTGTTCCCGCTCCCCCCTGCCGGTCCCGGGTCGCAGGGTCCTGCCTGGCGGTGCGCCGGCCAGGGACCGGGCGCCGTGCAGGCGGTGCCTGTCCCGTCTGACCGCGCTCACCTCGCCATGGCCGCGCCGACTCCGCCCCGCGCTATTTTGGGTAGGGGGCCGGGAGCGGGGCCCGGCCGGGGCGGGCACAGCGCGGACAACCCCTGGCCCGGTCACCGCCCGCTGTGCCCGCCCCGGGGACCCGCGGCCGCCCCACCGGGCCGCGAGGGGGCGCGCTGGCCCCGCCCATTGCCCCGCCCCGCGTCGGCAAGATGGCGGCGGTGTCACAGCGCCGGTAGCGGCGGCCATGGAGGCGGAGGGCGGCCCGCTGGGCCCCGGCGAGCGCTGGGCGCCCGTGGGCGCCGTGTCGGCGGAGGAGGAAGAGGAGGCAGAGGAGGAAGAGGACGAGGAGGACGAGGACGAGGTGGCAGGCGGCGGGTCGCCGCAGTCGGTGCCGCGGCTGCGGGCCGAGCGGCGCCGGCTGCACGGAGCGCTGCTGGCGCTCGCCTCGCACTTCGCTCAGGTGCAGTTCCGGCTGCGGCAGGTGGCCCGGGCCGGCCCGGCCGAGCAGCAGCGCCTGCTCCGCGACCTCGAGGACTTCGCCTTCCGCGGCTGCCCCGCGCCGCTGCCCCACGGGCTCGGCGCCGCCCCGGTGAGTGCCCGCGGCCGGGCGGAGCGGGGCCTTGTTTGGGCACAGAGAGCACCGGCGCCGCGGGTACCGGCGTCCCGTGGCTCCTGGCCCCGCGCTGCCCGCCCCGGCATCTCTACGTGCGCGTGTCCCGGCTGAAGCCCGTTAGCGCTGCCGGCGGGGGCTCAGCAGCTGCGCTGCCCGCAGTGCTGGTGTTTGCACAGAGATCGGTGCCAGACACACTCAGGGCCCTGCTGACTCGGTGCCAGCTCGCAGGGACGTGCCCTAAAGCCCTGAGTGGTGTGTCACCGCTCCACTCCCAGCTACGGCACAGGTGAGTCAGAGGATCTGTGATATAAACACGTTATTTACATACACGTTATTTGGCCACTTTCTTCCTGGATCCCAGCCTTGTGGGATGGGGTGTGGGTGCAGGAGGCCTGGAGAAGCACTTTCCTTCCCCTGTCAGATGAGGTGATGTGGCTGTCACCTCGTCTTGGTGCTTAGACACATTTCTTTCTCAGGCTGGTTTGCAGTACTCGCTAGTGAAGTGCATGAGCTGCAGGAAACATTCCTCATGTCATGATCCTGTTCTCTGGGGCCTGACTATGACAATAAGCCTTCAATTTGATTTACTGGTAACTTTTTTCAGGGTGAGCGAGAGAAGCAGGAACAAATTGAGGTCCAGAAGGAGAAGCACAGAGAGCTGATCCTGCAGCTCAAGACACAGCTGGATGACCTGGAGACCTTTGCTTACCAAGAGGGCAGCTATGACTCTTTGCCACAGTCTGTGGTTATGGAAAGGCAACGGGTAAGGCTCACAAAACCTCCTGTATTTCCTAGCCCTTGTGAGGGATTACAGACTGTAGGTGGTCATCAATCTGTATTTCTTGCTAGCAGCTGAAATAATGTCAGGAGTTTTTCTACACATGTGAACCTGTCCTGTGTCTTTTGCAATTATTTCTGTGCAGCAGAGGCATCCTGTTTCCAAGCGAGTGTCTGGGAAAGGAGTATCCTGGGCAGCAGTGCCACATGGTGAAATCATGCTGCTCACTTGTATTTTGCAGATGATTATAAATGAGTTGATAAAGAAGCTGGACATGGACTTGAGTGAAGATATTGCAACGCTCTCTCCAGAGGAACTGCGGCAGCGGGTGGATGCTGCCATAGCACAGATTGTAAATCCAGCCAGGGTGAAGGAGCAGCTGGTGGAACAACTGAAGACCCAGATAAGGGACCTCGAAATGTTCATCAACTTCATTCAGGGTCAGTGATGAGGTTTTGGATGAGCAGACTGAATTGCTGTGTAATTCCCTGACACAGTGATGAGGAGGGAGGTCACAGATGTTGGAAACAGCTCCTGGGTCACAGGAAAGTACAAATCTCTCTAAACTGATGGTGAGGGAAAGGATAGAGTGGCAAAAGAGGTCCAGAGAGGTCAGAGGAATGTTGACCTTAATACTGTATGCACAGCTGAAATTCATAAATGTGAAATAATGGTGTGAAATCCTTGTTGTAGATGAAGTTGGAAGCTCTGGAAAGGCGGAAGATGGACACTGTGACTGCGGGGGCTCCTACAAACCCAGCACCCAGCCTTCTGGGAACAGAGGTGGGTACCACTGGGCTTGGCACTGCCAGCACAGTTCTGTCTGTCCCTCCCTGGAGCTTTGACAGGCACAAACCAGTCATACTCTGCTTTTTCCTGGCAGTTGGTCTCTGTACTTTCCCAGTCCCACTGCTGAGGGCCTGTGTCCAGTTCCTTTACCCTCCCTCTATGTGATCCTTATAGTAGTCACAGGGCCTGAACGTGTGGCAGAGAGGGTGGGATTGGTACTCAGCAGGGGTCAGGAAGAGAAGGGACTGCTGACAGTGCAAAACGCAGACAGACCGAGCAGCCCTGTCTGATGCACTCTAATTCATGCTCTTCAGGCTCTGAACTCTGTAAGCAGGTACTGTGAGCTGGGGGGATCCAGTGTTCTTCAGTTTGAGACTTCCCTACTTATCCCACAAACTTACTG